GTTGTGTACTTGGCGCCCTTGGACAAAATATATTAGATACAGATTGGACTCTATTTTTTGTTTTTAAGCTTCCTCTCACTTAATGTGTCTACTTTGCCACTCTACAACCACAAACCACCCAACGATATCAAAGTTGTGTACTTGGCATCCTTGGACAAAATATATTTTCAAACTGGTAAAAACATACTCGGATAATTTAGTCATGGAAATTAGAAATTGCATTTAAAGCTACCTTAATATCTAGCAACCTCACAACACTGTAGAAGTTCATCTTGATTCCTTTTGTCATTTTAATGCTGCTAAGATCAAACATCTTATGATTTTTCTCTCTAACCTTTATGAATAATGAGTAGAAAACAGATGGTAATTATGGCTTTTAGCCATCAAATTTAACTGTCCCATGTTATTTTCTACAAGATGGTACTCATTGAACACGTTTATTCAATCTTTGTTTTGCATAGTCATAATCTTTGTTTAAGCAACTAGATCATATCAGGCTCTTCCCCAATAATCAACTGCTCAGTTTATTGGTGATAAGTGATTCTGTCTAATGGCAGAACCACTATCAACCACCATTTAGTCTCATCAGAACAACATTTCCTTTTTTGCACATTTTCCAGAAAGTTAGTAGGAAATTTCTGTTCCACTTTCAACCAACAAAATTCATGAAATGTGATACCCAACAACATGGATTCTTATGAGACTAAAAGCAAGGACAAATACAGTTCAACATGCCCTCGGTGATTCAAGATAAACTTGAAAGAAAATCCATGGCATGTGAAGGCTAACTGCAATGCTCTGAGAGCAATGAAAAGGGTTGCAATACTAACAACCAGAATTTATCAATCATGGATGTCATGCTTACAAAGAATCTTGCACCTGCTACGTCATACTTAACAATTCCTTCATGCATATCATGAGTACCGAATTTCCGTGCTAGTCTTTTCGAGTAATTCATTGTTTGATATATCAATTCTACCACCAATGACTCACTCTTCCCTTTCAAAATTTATTAGAATAAATTTAAACAAAATCTAATGACTATATCAATATTCCTATCACATTCTGGATTTTTTTTTTTTTTTATACACAGGATTACAACATCTTTCCAATACCACATCAAGAGCAAAATGTCAATTTAATAGGTTCGGGTTCAATTTAGGTCAAACAGGCTTGAACCAGTTAAATTGATTCAAAATCATCCTCAATCAATCTGAACTGGTCAACCAATCTGGTTCAGTCGACAATTGGGCCCAAATCAAGCAAAGAAAAGAGAGTTGGGGTCTATGAAGCACGAATACACCAAATTCAATGATGTATTGTGTCCGACATGTGTCGAACATGGATTTGTCATTGACATGGTTGGACACATGTCCAAACATGTCCTTTTTTAAAAAAATTAAACACAACATGGCGTGTCGAACTCTTCCTCACTACGAGAAGACTGCGAAGGCGACATGAAACCAGGATTCCTCACCGTGAGCGGACTACGGAGGCATCGTGAAACCTTCAAAATCCTTCTTCCTCACTAATTTCGAGAGGATTTCTTACCTTCTACGTGTAAGGATCGCCCCTTCTTGCTCACCGACTTCCTTTCTTCCTCATCGTGTTGTAGAGCCCTTAAGCCAAAGGTCCCCCTGCCGCGATCGTGCTGCCATCGAGCTATCGGACCTCCGCCTTGAGCCCACCTCTATCGCGACTGCGTTGTCATTGTGTTGTCGGATTCTCCGCCCCGAGCTCCTCTATGCCGTGATCGCACTGTCGTCGCGCTATCGAACCCTCCGCCCCATGACCCCCTCTACTGCAATTGTGTTGTTGTTGCGTGCTCTTGGGCCCTCGGCAACTTCATTAGCGTTCGACAAACCATCTTCCTCAATGACGTCCGACGAAGCTTCTTCCATAACAACGTCCAACATTCAGGTAAATTAATTTTGTTTAGATTTTTTATTGCTCAAAAATGCTTGTTTTGATTATTAACATATTATTAACCTTTTTTATTTTTTTTATCACATTACTAAGTCTATAAAATTTCAATATATGGGCGATTCCCCGAAAATTGTTTTTTCTTTCCCGAATCCTACAAGGAAACAAAGTCGGTGAGTTTTTTTGCAACTGCGATTGCCTCGACCAAATTGGTGACATTCCTTTTATGCAGTTCCTGTTATACCCATGGCTTCAAGCCATTGAGGAAACTGAATAGCTTGTCCTTCTCGAACATGTCTTATATGTTTAGCATTAGTGTTGAAAACTGCTATAAATAATCTCGAACAAAAGTGCTTTGGTGGAGTTGTCTCAGTTGCGATGAACTCAATGTTCTTGGGTAGAAACTAAGTTTTCAACTCCTACTTTAAGTCATCTCATGTGTCCACTCGACAGCGACCTTGTTGGTTCTCTTCCCAACGTGTTCACCATCAAAGTTTTACATCCCCATTCAAATACATGGTTGTCATCGAAACTTTGATTTCTACAGAATCGAGCATTGTAGCTTGAAAGTACTGCTTCATGTCAAATAGAAAATTCTCAAGCTCTTTTTGCATCCCTGGCACCCCTATAGCAATGCGGCTCGGGTGCCCTCAAAATTTATGGCGGAGCAATGCGTGTGTTGCTCCCTCCCACATTAAGAACCCTCATAAGCAATATAATCCTGGACGTGAGTTTCGTGACAACTTCGTGTAGGTGTTGCACAGTGTCTTTGGTGCCTTCAATCAATCAATCTACTCAGGACTCGACCTTGTCAATTCAAGAATTCACCTCCTCTTGTGAGGTCTCTACCCCAAGAAGCCTTCATTAGCCTTGGTAGAGCTCCTCTAAACTTGCTTCAAGAACATCAAAGCGGGTTTCAGCAGTTGTAAGTTTCTCCTTATGACTTCTCTTTCCAGCTGGCACTCTGGATTGTGCTTCCTCCGCTCGTGGAGAATAACCAACTTCTCGATCGCCATTTTCGCTGTCGAGCTCCTCTTGAGCGGCTCCAACAGTTTAAGAGCAAGTCTACACTTGCAACCCACCTGCGGCTGCTTTGAACAATGGTCCAGCTTGTCCCGTCTTGCTCGATTCACCATGGTGCTTCACCATGGCAAGATTGTGAACTTTTGCTATTTGCTCAAATTGCTTGCTTGCTTTGATGCCACAATATCACGGACTTAGCTAAATTGCCTAAGTCGTAAAGCGCCCTTGTGTTATCTGTCTATAAAGGGTCAGCCTAGTTATAATCTTGTTCAGGTCTCGAAGGACCTGTAAAAAAAAAATTAATTAGTTCCAAAAATGAGCGACGGACAAGTCTCGACGTCTCGCAAAGAGGGCAACTTTACAAGCAATTTCGCAAACAATTGGTGTATAAGAAAGAAAAAAGAAGAAGGAGAAAACAAGAATTTTAGAAGACAAACGAACAGTCGCAAGTCCACAAACGATTGAGTGTCGGATGTGTCAACAAGTTCCCTAGGCTTTATATGTGAACTTGTGAATCCAATCGACGCCCAACGCTACCCCAAACCCCTATTTAGCCCTGTGCCGTCCGGATGGTTCTAGGGTGCTAAGATGGCCGATGTTTCCATTCCACCACAACCTTCAAAAAATAGGCCATGGCATGCGAAAACTAGGCTATTCTCAGGAAATTTTGTCTGTTATGGTGAGCGATTGCTCTACCGCCCTCCAACTATTCATGCTCACGGTTTATAAGCAAAACACACAAAAACATAGCAAAACATGTTGCCAAACATATGTATAAACAAACAAAAACGACGAACGCATTGACGAATATATTGCAAGTACGCGACAACCGACTGTGACAATACACCAATAGGATGATTATTGTTGACTTTATTCATGGATGTAAATTTGCTTATATATTTCAGATTTGACTTATAGTGGTTCCTACTCAGCGCATTGCTTAAATTGCTTTATTTTGTTTTTTATTTTCAAAGCAACCTCCTAGTAGGATTAGATCAGATTCCAGTAAAGAACAGACATTCCTCTACTGCTAGGTAGAATCAGTTGGATTTGACATCACTTATGTTAGATAATAAAGCCCATGGCTATTTGTTTAACTTTTATTTTGATGAATAAGTGAATTGTAATAAATTTTTACAATTTATATTTCTCAATAAAGTGATGTTGACATTTTGCTCTTGATGTGACCCATGAAAAGATGTTGTAATCCTGTGTAAAAATAATTCCAAGGTGTGACAATTCTTTTAACCGTTTATCAAGAAAGAATAAACCATCAAAATGTTTAATTGGGATTTTGATGTCTTCTAGATCCCATGTTAATTAAGCATGCCTAGCAAAGTCTAGGATAGGCACTTTTCAAAACTATTTGAAGCATGGATAGCACATTACAAGTACCCCATACAGTGAATTGATACAATTTGGTATTTCTACATGCTAAATCTTGAAAAGATAAAATATGTTATGTTTGAAAAATGAGTATAAATATGAGATAATGATACAACATAATGCAGATATGCCAATACATTAATTTTGGTGTAGGGGAAATGAACAATATAGCATGGATGTATGATAAAAATATGTTAGACACAATATTATATATGACAAAACTTGAAGCATAGTTATTTTGTTAGAATAAGTAGATGGATATGATGGTAAATAACAAAAACACTAAAATATCCGAAAGTATGTATCATGAAAGAAATTATTTTATTAACATGATACTTCAAGAAAGAGAAGAGGATAAGAACTTTGGATAAATGAAGATCACCATTTAAATCTAATTGATCATAATTTGATGACTGATATAAAAATCCCATATAGCTAATCGTATATGTATCTCTTCTAATTAAAAAAACATCGTCGATTGAGGAAAAAGGTTCTCCCAAGAATATCCATGAGGTATCTAATTTTAAAAAAAGGATGATTAAGTCTAAGAAGTATCAAACAGTATTGTATCCTCTATAAATACATATATATGATATGAATCAGCATGATGAGTAATTTAGATCATTTCTGTTTCATAATATGACAAGGCATGAATATAACCATAAAATACAATATCATATATTGTACAATACATGCCAAAATTTTGCATTCATTTGTGATGTTAGAATACATATATATATATATATATATATATATATACAGAAGTCACTAAATAGAATCCATGACCTGTTCATCTCTTGATTTATAGCCATATTACTTAAAGAATACAGAGAAGATAAAAGAAAAAAGACTGACAAACAAAATGAGTATATTAATCTTAATCTGACAATTATTACATACGACATTAAACAATCTATCCAATCATGTATAAATGTTGTCTATAATAAAAAAAACAATACATATGAAAGAAACAAATATTCTCTAAACTCCAAAGAAGTATCTATAAAGCATTGTCAAAGCATCATAATGTAGGATCTTTCTAATAACTATTTCAGAAATCAAATACACTGAGAAAGCATCCAACATGTCTTCTGATATGACTTAAAATTGTTGCTTCTTTGGATGCAAAAACTGGACAGTTGGACTGTGACTTGTTATTAACTTGTTCTGTGAAAAGTTAGGAAATGGTAAGTGAACAAATGAACATAATATGATTATTAAACGATTTTTTTCACATGAATGATTCTTCCTGCTACATGTGCATTCCAACCTACTGTGTGAATTATCAAAAAGAAAAAAAAAGACACACACACATACCTCGAGCTTTCCTTGCTTTCTTTGCCCCTCTATGATTACTATGTTATTCCTGTTTCTTCTCAACAGTTCACAAATATTTGCACTATAAGTTGCCGATTATAAGTCCAGTTGCTGAATTTCAATAACGTTTCAACCGTTGCCTCTTCCCAGAAAATCAAAATAAAATATCAAATAGAGAGTACGAGTAAGAGTGAGTACTGTGATTCTCAATATATTGATGTTATTGCATCTACAATAATTGTAAAAGAAAGAAAAGTAGGAAGCTACCCCATTATTAATAATTTTCTGACAAATGTCCAAGTCTACAAATAAGCAGTTTCCCTTAGCGGTCTTGTCTATGGCTCTTGTTTTCAGCATCACATCATTGTTTCTTTTTTATAAAATAAAGTTCATATGACAATCTAAAATGTAGCTTCTGCATCAAATGTACATTTACTTTTCTTTTTTTTTTTTCATCTTGGCCCAAAAATTAATCAAGAAGGCTCGAAGCACCAACATTTTTCAAATAAAGGTTAGTTCAGTAGAACTACATGGCCTCATAATTTCTTTAATTAAACTAAATCATTCTCTTCCAAAGCTTAATAGGAGATCATACATGAAGACAGTCCCTTGCTTTTGCTTCCGTAAAAATTTTAATCATTCCGAAGGCAGGATTTCCTCACATGATAATCGGCTAAGTGCAATTGCGAACTATAAGATACCCAAAAATCACAAAGTACAACTTATAGATACCTCAATCTTGCAGTAAAGATCTAGTTCTCATATATTAAGGCAATATTAAAGCAAAGAAGCATCAATTAAAAGGGCTCTTTTTTCTAACATCATAGACAATTCACGGTCATACGTAGTCCAAAAACCACAAAAGGAATTCTTGATAACCACAATCTGGAACCAAAGCATAAAAGCATCGGTAAAGAAAATGAACGAGTTCATGGAATGCGAAACCATACTCAGAAGCAGGAAAGTCGACAACTTCGGCAGCTTCCGGTCTCTCGGCACCAATACGGCTCATCGAGGATTGGTCCTGGACTAGGTGCGGCGAGGTTCTATTTGGAAGAACCTGGGAGAAGCTGGAACAGGGGATGTGGGGAAGAGGGAGGTGATGGCAGGGAGGAGGGAGGTGAGGATTGGGTGAAGCGAATCGGGGGAGGAGATGGCAGTGGTGGTGACGGCGGTGGCAACTGCACGGACAGAGTAGGACGAGTGGGATATGGTGGTGGTGATGGTGGAGAAGGTGGCGATGGAGGAAGTCGACCGGGGGTTGCATGGCTTCCAATCACGGCGAATCATCGATCCTCTTAGGGTTTAATGACAGCTCAACCGAGTGGCCGGTGAACGGATCGTTGGGTACGGGTGACGCTGTATCAACTTTCCCGATCTACTCCGCGACTTTCGTTACGACATGAAGACGTGGCAGGCACAAAGAGGCCCCACGCACCTGTCAAAGAGGATCCACTACGAGAACCCGCATTTTATGGGTGGCAAACTTGGACCCGAAACCCGTTTCGGTTCAAAATCCGGGTTCGGGCCAAAACAACTCGTTTGATTCAAATCGGCTTCGGAAGTTAAACAAATA